TCTTATTTGCCTCCTAAACTGAGCACCAGTTCTAAAACATGTAAACAGAACCCATCCTTGTTCACTCATACTAACTTCTAGCAATTCCTAACCATTTCTGCTTTTCTACTGTGGGCATAAATTCTTCTCCCCATATCAGTCTTCAAACTTGCTACCAGATGGAACTTTTTGATATTTTCAGACAAGTGATGGTAATAAGGGGATTTTTTTGGGTGGGGCTGGGGGAGTTGTCCAGACTGTTCATGGAACAAGTCTATTATTGGTTCATTTCCAACCACCATCTGGACATATGTTTAGCTCCACTAAAATTTAGCCATGTGCACAGAAACCTCAGTTCACTATAGGTTATCTTCATATGACTGCAAAAAGAGGTAAGAAAAAAATAACAAAGGAATCTAGTACTGAGGCATGATGGGTATGAACTGGTCCTTGAGAAAAACTAATATTCAAGGGGAAAAATCCAAATATATCCATGCTATTACATTTGATTAAGAAAGGATAATAATACATATTGCTGCATTGGAAAGATAAGTATATCCTGCCAGGAACTATGTGGTAAGACTATACCATATGGTAAATATTTACCTTTAAAAATATTTAGGATACTATTTCTTCCTAACATTGTTTCACAAAGGTTTAAAAACCAATACAATGAAAAAGCATTTTAAACTACAGTTCTGAATTTATAAAGCTACAGAAAGAACAATGTACAGACAAATGGTTTACTGTCTTTACAGTTCTAGAGAAATTGATGTTACATTTCAAAAGCTTCAGACCAACATTTTTAACATATTGTTTACCTTTTATTATGAAGCTGGATTCTTGTCCAATAAAGAGGCTTCATGGGTCGAGAAGGTTCTATTGCATGTTTTCTGCTAGTTTTTTCCTGGTTAATTCCCATGACAAATAAACCAGTTGGCAAGGGAAGAGGAAGAAACCCAGACACTTGTGGAAGACTAGGAGCTGGGGGTGGTGGCATGCCTATTCCCGGCAGAGGAGGAGCTCCCACCCCAGGCAAAGGGGGTGGAGGAGGCAGCCCTGTCAGTCCTTGCAGAGGGGGAGGGGGAGGAGGTCCCCCCATACCTGGCCAAGGAGGTGGTGGAGGAGGGGATGACACTCCCATGCCTGGCAAAGGGGGAGGAGGTGGTGGCATTCCCATGCCTGGCAAAGGGGGAGGAGGTGGTGGCATTCCCATGCCTGGCAAAGGGGGAGGAGGTGGTGGCA